CCGAGCAGCAGGTGGATGGAAGTGTTCGGTGATTATACCACCACTCCAGCTTGTCCGAAACCAGATCTTTCTGGTGATTTTTCTGGGGTGGCGTTAATCAGATTCTCAAAGGAATCACAGACACCACCCCCATCACCCCCAAATAAAAGGGTAGTAACTGCTGGTCTCTCCTCTTGGCTTGTGGGTCCCTTGGGGGAGGTACAAAGAGAATACCAAAAGGATATCAAATAGGAATAGGCTCAAACTTATTCGAAGTTTGGCAAGAGGATAGGGACCTGGGGGGCCAAAAATGTGCCACTTTGAAGACCTAGAGACAGGACAATTTGACAGATGTCTCTGTAGTTCCAGAAGGTCAGGACTTTTCAGAAAAGGCAGCATCGAAAAGGGCAGCTAGGGCCTGCTCAGCAGGCTCAAACACAATAAGTCTGTGAATCAGAAAAGAGGGTTTGATTAGAGGCAGGCAGGCGTGGCATCAGAATTGGAGGAAGACTCATTAACAATCTGCGATATGCAGATGATACCACCTTGCTTGCTGAAAGTGAAGAAGACTTAAAATATTTACCGAGATGAAAGAACACAGCCTTCCGTATGGATTACATCTCAATGCAAAGAAAACAAAAATCCTTACCACTGGACCAGTAAACTACATTCTTATCAACAGAGAAAAGATTGAAGTTGTCAAGGACTTCATTCTTCTTGGATCAACCATTAACACTCACCGAAGCAGCAGTCCAGAAATCAAACAACGTATTGCACTGGGCAAATCTGCTGCACAAGACCTTTTTAAAGTGTTGAAGAGCAAAAGATGGTAGCTTGAAGATTAAGGTGCGCCTGACCCAAGCCTTGGTATTTTCAGTAACCTCATATGCATGCAAAAGCTGGACAGTGAATAAGGAAGACCGTAGAATAATTGATGCTTTTTGAGTTATGGTGTTGGAGGAGACTATTGAAAGTGCATTGGCTGCCAAAAGAACCAACAGATCTGTGTTGGAAGAAGAGCAGCCAGAGTGCTCCTTGGAGGCCAGAATGGTCAAACTTCGGACATATTGTCAGGAGGGGCCAATCACTGGAGAAGGATATCATGTTTGGTAAGGTGGAGGGTCAGAGGAAAACCCCCAGCAAGATGGATTGGCAAAGTAGCAGCATCAATGGGCTCAAGCGGGGCAACAATTGTGAGGTTGGCCCAGGACCGGGCAGTGTTTCGTTTTGCTGTGCATAAGGTCTCTATGAGTTGGTACTGACTCCATGGTACCTAACAACAACAACAACAATAGAAAGAATGTGATGCTGTGTGTTAATGCGCTGGACTGCAAAGTTGTTTTGAACCTCAAGGTTGGTGGTTCAAGCTCGGCAACCGCTCCTTGAAACCCTATACAGGGTCGCTATGGGCCAGTACTAAGTCAATGGCACTTAACAACAGCAATAGAAAGAAAGGAGTCCTGGTGTAGTGCTGTGGGTTAATGCACTGGACTACAGGGTCAGTGTGACCTCAAGATCGGCAGTTCTAGCTCACCAGCCTCTCCTTGGAAACACTATACAGGGTTGCTATGGGCCAGTACTAAGTCAATGGCACTTAACAACAACAATAGAAAGAAAGGAGTGTCAAGTGGGGGTGGAATGGGGTACAGAGTGAAAGACAAGGATGTAGGATCAGGGACTGCTGGTTCTTTTCTAGCTCAGCTGAGGCTAGAACAAGGATGAGACGTAAGGGCTTTTAGTCCCCTGCCACCACCAAAGGAAACAAAGGAACTGTCGCCCAAAGCTAGAGAATATATCAAAGGAAACAGAAAATCTTCATTCCTGGAGACCTTTAAGAAGAGAAAAACCCAAACCACTTGTCACTGAGTCCATTGTGACTTATGGCAACCCCATGGATATCTTGAGTAGACCTGTGCTTCACCAGGGTTTTCACCAGTCAGTTCTAACGTAGATCACCAGGCCTTTCTTCCAAGGTGCCTCTGAGTGGACTCAAACCGCCAGCTTTTCAATTAAGAACTTAAGGCATTAACCATTTGCACCACCCTATAGAGGAGAACATCTCCCCTTTCACTTAGAATGGACTAGGTAGGGGGCAGTGAACAATCTAAAAAGCCCTTTCTGATTCTGAGTGCAGAAAAAACAGTGTGTGGTTTAGTGAATGTGGGTCTGAGAGAGTCTTGTCCTCCCCAGAGTGCGTCTCCACCTCCTATATACACAATCAGAGCCCCAACCAAAACAAGCAGTCTTTTCACCAGCAAGTGGTCAATTTCATGTAAACTGCTGCAGGCACTATCACCCCCCAGGGGGTGGCTAGCGGGGCGGAGCTGCCAGAGAGGAAAACAGTGATGCCCTCTTTACAACAGATGCAGACACGCCAGCAAATGCCCACAGTGTCCGCTCATTCCAAGGCAATGCGGGCAGCCTCAGAGACCTTTTGGGTAAGTGGATCTGTCAATGTAGCTGAAGCCATGTGTCCACTAGGACAGCCCTTCAGCTCTGGGTACCTCAAGTTGTTTCTTTTTCCATTGTCAATATAGGCCCCATCAGGCTCTCACTAAGAAGCATGGAAGTGAGCCAAAGTCAGCTTAGCTGGTTCTCACAGTGAGGTCCCAGACCAGCAGGGCCAACAACATCAGCAGCCCCTGGGAACTGGTTAGAAATGTAAATCCTCTGGGCCCACTCCACACCTACATAAGAAACTCAGGGAGTATAGCCCAGCAATCTGCGTTTTCAGAAGCCCTCCAGCTGACTCTGATGCTCACTAATACCTAAGAACTATGGGTTTATAGCACAGGCTGTAAACCAGATTGGATTGTAAAGACACGTTCATTCCATTCAGACAGGTTCAGCTAGATCATATAGAATCATAGATCTACAGAGTCGGCTGTTAAAACTAAGATGCTTTGTGAGAAGTAGAAAAGGGCACCCTCTTTAGACAGATGAGTGAGGCGTGATGGGACTGTAGGATAAGCACTGGACTACTAACCACAAGAACGGGTTCACAGCCACCAGCCACTCCACTGGAAAAAGAAAAGGCTGTGTGCGCCTGTAAAGATTTCAAGTCTCGGAAACCCAAGTCTCAGAGTTGCTACGAGTTGGAATGGACTCAGTGGCAGTGAGTTCTGTTTGGTTTAGACACATGAAGACCCCCTCAGCAGCGCATGCAGGCATTCATCGCTTGGTTGTTAACACTCAGCAGCTGCTCCCCAGAGGAAAGGTGTTCTCAGTCGGCTTCCATAGAGACTGCAGCCTTGTAAACCCTATGGGGCAGCATTACACTGTACCCTAGGTGCCCTATGAGCCAGAACAGACATGACAACAGTCTGGCGGGGTTAGACAGATGAACTCCAAAAAGATGCCTCTTCAGAAGGATTACTCAGCAGCTGTGATGGGTTCAGGGCTGAACTGTTACCCAACCACTTCCTTTACTGTTTGTTTATACCGTGCTCAATTTTTTCCCTCTCTGCAGTGGTTC